CAAATGGAGTCAGACGTCTGTAGCGCACCAATAGTAATTCGCAGAAGAACGCTCCTAACATGAAAATATTTCCAAAATTTTGGGTTTTATTCAAACTCAAACAACTAAAACGAGATTTAGTAAGAAGTAAAACTATTTCAAGCACTAATCAGACTCCTGAAAACTTATAGGCCCAACCATGACATGACGTCATTCTAAAAACAAAAATCTGCTATTTGAACATTTTTGGTCAAATTTTATGGTGCGAGTCGGAGAGAGAACTTTTCCGCACACCGTTACGTATTGATGTCAGGAGTTTCCTGTCGATTACAACGTATGAGGGCCTAACAGTTCGGTTCTTAGAATTGAACTGCTAAATAATAAATAAATAAATATCTACACATATGATTTAACTCTAATGGGAGAGAGTTGTGTAGAATCAACCACATGTTTCGGAAAAAACTGATAACAGTTCATTGTGTGTTGCAAAGTCTACAGACAGCCCTACCAAGGTTGTAATTCAGAGTTATCTTCCTCCTATGATAGTTGCCAACCAAGGCTAAACTCCTCAGTCTACCCTGCTATTAAAGGGTATTTAATATTGAATCATATATAATAAACTTCAATACTTATTATTTTTATTATATCGGAATATATAATAATTGCTCTAGTCAAATATCAGGCACTAAGGCAGATATTCTGTTCACCTACCGTTAATATACGTTAAATTATATCATTTTTCATTTATTAATAGTTATACTGATAATATTTTTTACAAAAATGTATTGCTGCTAATATATATATATATATATATATATATATATATATATATTCATTTTTCTTATTTTCCTTCCTTTTTCATTTTTTGTATATTTTCACTTCCATTTTACTTTTTTCTTACATTTTCTTTCGTTCTTTTTCTGCTTTTTTAACATCATTCAGTGTTTCTTTCGTTTTCTCATACTTTCTTTCACTTATTCTTTCTTCTTCTCTTGCTTTCTTTCGCTCTTCATTTTCTGTTTTCTTCAGCTTTCTTTCTTTTACCCTTCGTTTTCCTTTTTCTTTTCTTTCTCTCTCCGTTTTCCTTTCTCTTTCTTTCCCACTTTGCTTTCCTTTCTCTTTCTTTCTCACTCTGTTTTCCTTTCTCTTTCTTTCCCACTTTGCTTTCCTTTCTCTTTCTTTCTCTCTCCGTTTTCCTTTCTCTTTCTTTCTCTCTCCGTTTTCTTTTTTCTTTCTTTCCCTCTTTGCTTTCCTTTCTCTTTCTTTCTCTCTCCGTTCTCCTTTCTCTTTCTTTCCCTCTTTGCTTTCCTTTCTTTCCCACTTTGCTTTCCTTTCTCTTTCTTTCTCTCTCTGTTTTCCTTTCTCTTTCTTTTCCTGTTTGCTTTCCTTTCTCTCTCCGTTTTCCTTTCTCTTTCTTTCCCACTTTGCTTTCCTTTCTCTCTCCGTTTTCCTTTCTCTTTCTTTTCCTGTTTGCTTTCCTTTCTCTCTCCGTTTTCCTTTCTCTTTCTTTCCCACTTTGCTTTCCTTTCTCTCTCCATTTTCCTTTCTCTTTCTTTCCCTCTTTGCTTTCCTTTCTCTTTCTTTCTTTCTTTCTTTCTCCGTTTTCCTTTCTCTTTCTTTCCCTCTTTGCTTTCCTTTCTCTTTCTTTCTTTCTTTCTCCGTTTTCCTTTTTCTTTCTTTCTCACTCCGTTTTCCTTTCTCTTTCTTTCCCTCTTTGCTTTCCTTTCTCTTTCTTTCTCTCTCCGTTTTCCTTTCTCTTTCTTTCTCTCACCGTTTTCCTTTCTCTTTCTTTCCCTCTTTGCTTTCCTTTCTTTTTCTTTCTCTCTCCGTTTTCCTTTCTCTTTCTTTCTTTGATTTACTTTAACTTAACCTTTTTATCAAATATCTTCTTGGATTCTTTCTCCAATTTCCTCAATTAATGACAATTATTTAACAACCCATAAAGAACAAGCGCTCTATAAAAATGTCTCCCTTTCCTCACATTTCCCATTCCAAAGCCTAATTATTCTTGGTTCCTTATTTGTTAAGTGCTAATTAAGCAAATGACAACTTCATTATTTATTTTATCTCCATTTACTTTATGCTAGAAGATGGGGCAAGGATTTATTAATTTCATTAAGAGAACACCATTTCTTTGAAACCAATATCGGCTGATTCAGCACTGGGAAGACCCAAATTTTATTAAAAACAATAATACACGTACGCTATGATTGATTTACTTGATTACATTTAATTAGGGGAAATCTGATGTGGTAATATTTTTAAATACCGACACAGAAATTGGAAGAAAATTGTTTTTTTTTTTGTTGTTAATCTTGTGACTAGTATGCATGCCTATATGTATGTACATATGTGTGTACGTGTGCATGTATATATAAAGTTGTATGCAACCTGAACAGAATTACAAAACAAGCCAGGCCCTGTATAGAACAATTTAATTTGTCACTTCAGTAATAAGCATTGAAAGTAACTTGTTGGGTTCTAGAGCTGTTGGCATTCTCTTCTTCTTTATGTGCCCTGTTCCCTCGGGGCGTAGGCGCTGATGGCACTCCACAATTTCCTTTCTTTTGTAGTTCTTAATAAATTCTTTATTTTTTATTTTTACAAAACCTTGTTCTAACATCTGTTTACTGAAGCTCACTTATGTATGTTATCCTCTGTCCCTCTCGCCTTCAATCTGTCCTGTGAGTATCAGATTTTACAAGGCTTCTTTCGTCGTTATATGCCATGGAAATTTCACCTGTCTCTTACTGATGTTAAGTATGTTTCCATTTTGTTTCCATTTCCCCTAAAACTTCATTGTCTCTAACATATTCGGTCAATGGTATTCTCAGTATCCTTCTGTAGAACCACATTTCTGTTGCTTCATGTCACTTCTTCATCTTTGAGGAGATTGTTCAGCATTCACTGCCATATAGGAGGACTGATAATAGTAACAGTTCAGTCAGGTAAGTATTCTCTACCAAATAATTTTTAAATTTGTCGTTCTCACGAGAATTAAAACCATGGATCAAACTTGTCAGTGACATTCATAGTTGTTTAACAAGTCGACAGACATCATGTAAGTCCTGCAGACTCGGTTGCAGAGCATACGGGCACCCAAATCCAACTTGCTGGACCAATAACCACTATGCTGCGCGCACATCCAGTGGCTTGTATAATGACCATTTAGGCAAGCAGAGGATCAGAATTACCTAACGTAGTACACAAGATTATCTTAATCGCATCGAGATTAAAGCAGACATTGTTTAATACAGGTGCTAGTAATTATTATTTAATGGCTAACTGGTTAGAATGTTCGCTTTCTGACCATGAGACCTGTGTGTGAATCTCACCAGGATCGATTTGTTCGTTGAGATGTTAACTCAAGCCATGGTTGGGCAAACAGGAAATCACAGGCCATCGTGACCGAGGATTTGCGTGTACTGACCCTGTTCGTGAAAAGGATCACACCATATTGTCGACTCACACCCAAAAACTGTAACTAAAATCCAATAGGGATAGTTGCAGCATAAACCCCAGAAGGTCTCTATGGATTGAGCAAACGTCTGTAATAGAATTTGGCTAGCTACACTGGTAGATGGGTGTGCCCGGAAATGAGTAATAACTGGACATTAAATATTATTTGCTAATGATGAAGGGGAATCTGATGTCCTAACATTTTTTTTTACACATGCTTGGCGGGTTAGTGGTGGGGACACATCGCTTAATGTGATTGTTAGTAAATGCTTTGAAGATAAGTCAATTGGACTTTTAAATACCGTACATAAACTTACATAGTCCACAAAATATGCTTTCCGATGCAGTGGTGGTATTGTCAGTGATGTTTTACGACCGCAATCATCAGAGGTTACGGGTCTTTACATATCAGACCCTCTCCAGTAAAACCAATCAGGGATGATCAGATCCTGATCCACCTTCCCACAACAGGATAACACTTTACACACACACATATATATATATATATATATATATATATATATATATATATATACAGGGTTTGTCAAAAAAAAAGAAATTTCGAAAATTTAATATAAACAAATGCTAAGAGACGGAAACACATTCAACACATTACTGGGTCGGAAAAGGTTCAAAGTTATTAAAATAAATTAATTTTTGTTCAAACGTGTTCAAATGCTTATCTTGTTTTTATTTCAGATTTTGTATAAATTTAAATTGTAATAATTTGTGCCAACCGTTAAAGTGGCCACACCATGAGAAAAGCTCCTTTAAAAGGAAATTGAAATAGACCATTTTTATATACGTAATGAAAAAGGAATATATATATATATATATATATATATATATATATATATATATATATATATATATATCCACTCATTATATATAATACAACAATAAAATATAGTTTTAAAGTATGTTTTATTTATAGTATAAAACTGCTGAATATCCATGATAGAGCATATGTAAATATTAACCATTACTACATGGCTTGTAGATTGCGTTCACGCATGCCGAAAGATTGTCCCTATTGGATGTTGAACTCTGTGACCACACCGACTGTTGTATATATATATATATATATATATATATATATATATATATATATATATATATATTCAGGTCGCCTGACGATTGCAGTAGCGTGAAAATTGAGTAGGGATTCAAATTTTCTTTTTCTGAGCTGTAATGCTTTGAAGCGTATTTGCTTTGTCTTGGTAATTTAGGCATAGAGCAATTTATATTACTGTCTAGGCAGGTGTCTGCCTTTTTGAACAATAACAAATTAAAAACTTTCACACACACTTGGGTTGTATATTAATATTATTATTTCAATTAGGTTCCTCGACTAGTTTCTACCATCATCATCAGGAGAAAAAATTCCCTGCTCGTTAGTAACAGTGAAGTTCAGGAGTGAATGAATGTCTCTGAAGGATGTGAACTTTATCTGTAATTTTCATTTGTTTTTATCGTTAATTTTGGTCAGACCTTGTATTGGTTAAACGGCCTCTTTCAAGTTTAAGATAGAGGCTGGGAGATTCTTGAGTCTCAAAATTCCCTCCTTGGTCATTTTGACAGTTTTATTGGTTGCTGAAAAGAGGATGTGTGTGTTAAGTGTATATATAATCTTTTAGTTTTTTGGGGAGTGTGTGTGATGTGTGTATGTGTATATATTTGTGTATATGTATGAGACCTCAATACCTCTGCAAGCATGTCTGTCTTTTGTGGGTGAGAAATGTGGATAGGGCTTGATTTATGGGATTATATATTAATTCTATCTCTGTTGTTAAATTTGTTGTTAAGTTTCTCTGGATAAAGTGTTTTCATGCGCAAAATCCATTTGTTTTCATGTTCTTTTAATATTTGTCTAGGGTTATATTTTCTGTCTATTTCTATTTTTTCAATAATAGTGAATTTTGCATGGCTTTTAAAATCATGTTTTTCTAGGCGGACATGTTCTACAGGTAATAATCTTTCATGTAGAGCTGACTTGATCCAATTCCGATAATTATTAATTCTGTAGTGAAAGAGCCATTCAGATTTTCCCACAATTTTTTTCTGGTATAGTGTGCATTCTTATAAGTAAATTATGTTATGACTTCCACTGTTAGAGTTGTAGTAGATTTTGAAAATAGATTTAGCGACTGAGCTAGTGAACGAATTGGTATATCTAATGTGGTTACAACATAGGCTCCTTTTGTTACATGGTTGGGAAAATTATGTTGTTTTCATTATTGGTCTATTACGGGTTACCTTATCATCTGAAATTTGCTTACTACCGATAATTTCCTTAAGGTTCTTAGGTCTACTATATGCTAGAAGGCCGGGTTCCTCAAACAAAGTTTTTAGGTCTGGTGTGAGATGTAGTTTTTCCTAGCGACTTTTGATTATCTGATCTTCTTAAGTGTGGAAATGGCTTTATTTATTTGTTCCCTGATTAGATGTTGTTTATAGCCAAGTGTTGTGAGCTGGTGGTCGATATTTTTAGTGTGTTTATTTAGTTCTTCACTGTTAGAACGTATCTAAGTGCTTGTAAACAGGGAAGGTTCTCCTTCAGGCGGTTGGAGTGGGAATCTCTCTCTCTCTCTCTCTCTCTCTCTCTATATATATATATATATATATATGAAAAAAGTGTATATAAATATAAATAAATATATATATGTATAATTATTTATATATTATATATTGGTACTTATTAGAAAGCGCTCAATATCAGAGACAGAGCTAACATATTGTACATATATATATATATATATATGTGTGTGTGTGTGTGTGTGTGTGGAAAGGTTTTATTTTTTCACTTAACTCCTGTTTAATTTGGAGTTTTGTGGCTGTATTCGTCCAACCAATCGTCGAAACAGAGTTAATCTGCCGCTGTTTCTCGGTTCTCTCGTGCTTTTATTGGTATGAGTGTGAAATCTATTTCCATTTTTTCTCCCCGTTGATTTCTTTTCTTCCTCTGTTTTTTTTCTTTTTGTATTTTTTCTCTTTTATTTCTTTCCTCACATTCCTTGGTCTCTGGTTATCTCAGCCTCTCTGGCAAGAGTTTGAAAATACTTTTTTATAATATAAATGTTAAGATTTTGATGTAATGGAATAACCAGTCACCCTCATGAATGATTACACTATAGATAGTAAGTACAAGAGACTCGGGGAAGAGTGAGAGCGAGAAGACGCAAGCACGTCCGACCTTACAATTAGAGGCACTCACTACTAGATTAGTGTGCATAACTGTACCATATTTCATATTGTACTGATTGTGTACAATAAACCTTTCTTCTATTATCCACCTGGTGTTAAGTATTTATTCCCGTAGCACGGAATAACAGATTTAATATAACAGATTTAATATAACAGATTTCTATCAGAAAATTATTTTCTTCGCCCTTTGC